GGGATAAAAGTCTGCCAATGGAAATGAAGACATTAATGTCTACTTCAATATGAGGAAAACAAAACGCTACAGATCACTCTTTTACCAGAGGAACATTAAAAATGATCGCCAACAAGAAGGTAACCTGCGGCAACATGCAGTTCCAGCTTGGAGCTTAATACCTTTTAGGATGCCTCCTAGAGGCAAGAGTTGTGTATGTGTTGTGTATGGGAAATGCAAATACATATGAATATTAGCTCATGTACAATTATTTTTAAGCAAAACATAGCAAATTGTTTTTTAAGTTGTTTGCATAATGGGCTGATTTAGTTACACTTTCTCTTAGTATTTTAGTAGGCAAAGGTGGCTCATCTACTGGTCCAAACATAACATAAACCCTCTCCACATGAGCTCCATGAAAGCACGGATCAAGTCTACTGTTTACGATATTCCTGGTTCTTAGAACAGCACCTGACCCATAGTAGGCACTCAAACATTTATTTAATGATTGAATGACTCTCAGAATTAAATCCAAGAGACCTGCATCATTTCTAACTGTGACGGTTGTACACTTGCCTCTGCCTTCTTTCTCTGGAACCTTCTGGTACTGCTGTTTGAGAGCCCCAGACCACCACTGCAGTGAGGACCACCGGTGATGCCCAGTGAAGCTGATTAGCTCCTGACTGTACAGCCTATTTAGACGCTCTTGTTTAGACAAGGCTGTGCTCATCAGAAGCCAGGTGGCTCTCTGTCCCTGCCTTGTCATCTAAGTGAGGTGCAGTAGTTGTCTTCTCCCACGTGGAGGGTCTATCTGGCTTACGTGGATTTGATGATTGCCCTTTCAACATTACTAGGCTGGCAAAGCTCTTCACCATTAATATTCATTTCCAGGGCACATTTCTGCCTTACTGCTCACTGTTGTTTTATGCCAGGGGCTCTTAACACCATTCTTCCATATAGTCCATCACTAACATAAACTAATTTTCACTGACAGAAAAAAACTGAATGGAGCAAGTGTCTCAATTGTGAATTTTGCCCCCAGAAATCACATTAACTTTTAGAGCCTGCTATCAAAGACAGCAGGTAAATATTCCTTTTGGATGAAGAAGTATTTTTTAAAATTCCCAAGTCAGTTTTTTTGGGGCTTACTGCACATCCAAATGCCCAAAGCACATTTGGAATTAAGATTTTACACTGGCTTCCCTGGTGGTGCAGTGGTTAAGAATCCGCCTGCCAATGCAGGCGACACGGGTTTGAGCCCTGGTCCGGGAAGACCCCACATGCCGTGGAGCAACTAAGCCCATTCACCACAACTACTGAGCCTGTGCTCTAGAGCCCGCGAGCCACAACTACTGAAGCCAACGTGACACAACTACTGAAGCCCGCGCACCTAGAGCCCATGCTCGACAACAAGAGAAGCCACTGAAAGGAGAAGCCTCGAGGTGAGAAGCACCTCAACGAAGAGTAGCCCCCGCTCGCCGCAACTAGAGAAAGCCCGTGCACAGCAACGAAGACCCAACGCAGCCAAAAATAAATAAATAAATCTATTAAAAAAAAAAAAGTTAAAAAAACCGATTTTACACTGAATATCTCACATCTTAAGGAAGATTTTACGAATAACACTGTTCCTACTTTCGATGACAGATTTATACTCAGCTGCATTGCAGGTATGCGTTCCACTGTATGTACACATTTCGAACTTGTACAGGCTCCCTGGACTCTTACCGTCTGCCAGTTCTTACTGTATCTTTCAGGGTCTCAGGCTACAGTGACTTCTGACATTTTGACTGTCAAACTTTGTGTTTTGCTGCTGGCTTCCCAGGTGGGCCGTGCAAGAGACTGGTGACTTGGCTATGAACTACATGTTCAAATGTTGTTGTTATTTTTTTTTAAATAATTTTTTCCTATTTATTTATTTTTGGCTGCATTGGGTGTTTGTTGCTGTGCGCGGGCTTTCTCTAGTTGCGTCAAGCTGGGGCTACTCTTCACTGCGGTGCGTGGGCTTCTCATTACAGTGGCTTCTCTCGTTGTGGAGCACGGGTTCTAGGCATGCAGGCTTCAGTATTTGTGGCTTGTGGGTCAGTAGTTGCGGCACACGGGCTTAGTTGCTCTGTGGCATGTGGGATCTTCCTGGACCAGGGCTCAAACCTGTGTCCCCCTGCGCCACCAGGGAAGCCCCAATTTGTTTTTTTTTTTTAGTAACAAATTTATTTAATTATTTTTGGCTGTGTTGGTTCTTCGTTGCTGCACGCAAACTTTCTCTGGTTGTGGCGAGCGGGGGCTACTATTCGTTGTGGTGTGTGGGCTTCTTACTGCGGTGGCTTCTCTTGTTGCGGAGCACGGGCTCTAGGCGCATGGGCTTCGGTAGTTGTGGCACGTGGGCTCAGTAGTTGTGGCTCGTGGGCTCTAGAGCGCAGGCTCAGTAGTTGTGGTGCACGGGCTTAGTTGCTCCGTGGCATGTGGGATCTTCCCAGACTAGGGTTCGAACCCATGACCCCTGCATTGGCAGGTGG